TTTGAGTGTCAATTTTAATTAAATCCAATGAAAATTATTTAGTAAAAATTACAGTAGGAAGCATGTTTAGGGATGATAAAGAAGAGTAGGTTGTATCTACACTCCTCAGCCCTTCAGAGTTCCCTCGAGAAGATAAGTGCCTAATTATAAAGGGACAGGTGCACCTACCATCATTTAAGTTGCTTTGCTGATGTAATCTATTTCCCACTGTGTATTCAGTTGGAATCTGGTGGGACTAGAAATACTTTGTTTCCACACAAATATTTTTATTCTCTTTAACAGAGTTTAAAAGAATAGATAGTCAATGCTTTATTTATCTGATTCTCTATTAATTATTTCTACATCCAGTTCTCTCAGCAACATTTTGTAAGATTTGCATGTTTCCAGTCTACTGAGATTACAAGATGTGGTATACTTGGAGTATTTTCACTAACTTTTCAACTTGGATTGATAATCAGTGGTCAGGATGCATTTTATCATTCTTCTGAAAGACATTCTTAGCAGAAGTTTAAAAGCTGACACCTAATATTTATTTCCAAAGAGATGCTTTCTCATTAAAATTGAGAACACTGTTGTGATTTTGTTCTCTTTGCAAATTTTATTATTGAACTACTATGTATTGTATACTTTATAGGAAATTTTACCAACAAAATAATGTATTTTACAATTTTAAGGCTGGAGCTACAGCCAAGATACAATCTGTGTCTCTTCCTTAGGGAAGCCACAAGCCTATACTTCTTCAAAGCCAAGGCTCCCTCTCTCAATCCTAAACTCAAAAGGCCATCTAGTTTTCAATATTGGACATCTTCCCTGAATGATTGGCCTTCATAGGTACATATCTGCTTTTTCTTTAAGGGAAAAGTCAGAAGCAAACCCTACCCAGATATTTTTGCAGTTAGTGGCCTCTGATTTACACATGGGTTTCATGCCATGCACAGAGCAGTTTTTACTATTTCAAAGTAGAGGCCCTACAGTAAGTGCATTTCAAGTGTTCTCACAGGTAATTTATTAAAACAGGATGTGGACCAAGTCTGCATACATTCTCACAGTATTAAATAAGGAAGGCTATGGTTATATTGCAGTTTCCAAACTGATTATCCAGAACAGAGGCTTAGGTTCATGTTAATCTTTTACATGAATTGCCAGATTAACCAAGTACCTTTTGAGCTTCATCCATCACAATTTATGATACATTGATACATTAAGCTAAATCTAATGTTCTCTCAGGCTGGTTTTAGGGGATTTTCTATATTCAGACTAAGAAATTGCATTTGGGCAAAGAGATTTCTCCTCTCTCTCTCTCTCTCTTTTTTCAAAAGAATGTCTTTAATTCCATAGAGTCTCTTTAAGTCTATTTGACCACTGTTATATTCCAGTTCTAATCTCAGATTGGTTTTAAGAGTTTGAAATCTTAACTGGTAGCAGGAAATGACTTTAAGTTAACATTTCATGAACTACTAAAAATTGTTCTCAGAAAAAGAGAGTGCTTAATGATAAACGAAGGAACTTGCTACCCAGCTGATTAACTATATTTAACGCTTTATATTTTCAAAACTCAAACACAATTGCTAATAAGTATTTCTACCATGGCTCTCTGAGGGATCCTAGCACTGTCACCTCTTATTTTTATAAATGACACACTTGACCCGTAAAAATTAGATTGCCCATCTAAGGACCACACAGAAATGAAAAACTAGAATGAAGTTCAAAGTTGTCATGTCTCCATACCCAGTTTACAAAGCAAAGCTCTTAGGTTTCTGAGCAAATTAAGTGAGAAAACCAAATAAATTTCATTGTCCTGTAAATGTAGATGAACACACACACACCCACACATATACATACACATACCATATACAGAAATAATTTTATTTTCCTTAGACCATTTATTTTCTGTATGCTAGCAGTTATTTTGTGTAGGCACAACATAAACAAATATAGAGAGATGATTCTCCAGCCAAATGATCCAAACAACACGTTTTGATATTCCTTGATTTGAACTCAGTTAACAGACTGACTAGTTTCTTTTTTCTCTGCAGACTCTGTGTCATTGGGAAAACTGGTATGATTAACTTAGGCCAAATCATAGAATAATCTGATACTGATACCGGCAAAAACTTTTGGCATTAAATTCATTCCTTAATTCATTCTTTAAAGCACCTTTGATATTGTTTTCTATTAAATATTCTAATTATACACCCTACATAACGTTATTTTAGTTGACTATAACTTTACAATCTAAAATTTTATTTTTCATTTTATGTTATTTTTATGAGTAAAACAGACTGTGATACATAGCGTGAATATTGATTTCAAGTATTTTATCGATGTGTTTGAGTTGTTAAATGAGTTTAAATCTGTTTTGACTGATGAGTTTGCAATGCTTTCAGTGTTAATATCAATTTAATATATCACTATGCAGAGCACAGAACCATAGAACAATAACTTCATAGTAAGTAAATGTCAATCACAAAACAACTGACGATTTTGCTATGTGTGTTTGCATATGGCAACCCATAAGCAACTTTCTAATGGAAATAACTCATAAAAGTACTAATATACTCTCACATTAATAATATGAATTTATTTAAAGTTAATGTGTAGAATTCAAAAAGATTTCAAAGTTATATTTTTTGTATAAAAATGCTATTTCTGTTTATTATCTTTCTTTGGAAACAATTTAAGAAACATTCTTAGCAAAGAAACTCATGTAAGTGTTATGGTGTGAACAAAAGTAAATGTTCTTGGCATACTATTTCTTAAGTCTATTTTTAAAAGAAAAGAATTCTCTATGTTCCTATGACTTGTTCTATGCTACAGAATTACAGTTACATTCCAATTGTATATGCATAATATTATACACCAAATATGATACAGATGTTTTTCATATTACCATTCCAGATGCACTGTGAAATTATACTTGAGTGCCCATGAAGATATAAATATATGACCAAAGGATACTAATTTTGACTTACAATAAGCTATTTGTAAAAATATGGTTAGGTATGAATAAGATTTATAAGCTTCATTTTACCATGGAAAAATTATAACAAACAACAGTATTAAAATATATTTGCTTTCTGGTGTTTTCATTAAGACTGAAGCAGTGCATTTTTTTTCTGAGATTCAGAGTTCATCAGGTATGTAGAACATTTCATAGCTATGTAATGTGTGATTTCTCTAGATACAAGTAACACTAGTGTTTAGTGAGTGAAATTGAGCTATGAGTATACAAGGTGCAAGACATGAAGACCATCACTATTTGTATTTTGTTCATCTCAATTAATTAGGGCTTTATCTAGTGTTTAGTCTTGGGAAGGGACTTTATAGGTATATTCTGAATAAGAAGAAAGATATAAATTTTGTTTTTTCATAATCAGTTGTTTGTCCTCACTAAAATATAAAAAAGGAAAGCAGATGAAAATATTTGAGGCTAACAAGTCAAGAGGCTTAGAAGCAGCTTTTGTTTTAAGATTTAAAAACTCATCTCTAGTTCATTCCACATATCTATAGAGTTCCATGTTGTTTCTTGCCCTTCCTTGCACTAGCTGTGGAAAACCATGTTAAATTCAGGAAAGGCTACTCAGAATGCAGTTAGACAGCCTCTGGTGTCTGAAGATCTATTAAATTCACATCATTTCAACAGTATTATTAGGCATGTAGGTTTAATGATTAAAAAGTGAATGGCCAGCATTATATTCAGGTAATTGTGTTCCATTGCATATGCTACATTGAATCATATAAGGATGACGATGTTAAGGTGAAGGGAAATGGAGAAGATGTTGGAAAAAGAAAAATGTGTACATGAGAGACTCAATCACAAAAGACAAAATTCTATTCCATATTGAGTCCCACTGTGTCATTCAAAGTTCAAACCCTTAGGAAGCCTATAAATGATCCTCTAGCAGCCTTCTGGCCATCATTACTGCTGACTCTGGTTGTGAGCATAGCACTGACCTTAGACTCATACATACAAACGTGGCAGGTATTTCAAGCTATCTGCCAGAGAGGTTCTTTTGGGCATCTGCAATAGAGAGCCAGAAAACAGTTTTAACTGGAAATATCTATTCAAAGTGGAGTAAAGCAGTTCATAGCAAAAGTCTTGAAAATGTGTGTTTCTTTTTTGTGTGTTTGTTTGTTTTGCAGTTCAGGTTATTTCTATGTCTGAAAATGCCTTGTGAATATGACCCTACTGAGTTTTGTATTCCGAAAACTCCCAAATCAATTCTTTTCCCCACCCCCGCCACGGTACTAGGGTTTGAACCCAGAGCCTCAAGCTTGCTAAGGAGGCACTTGACTACTTGAGCCACTCTGCCATCCCTGTTTTGGTTATTTTTCAAGATAGGGTCACTCGAACTATTTTCCCAGGCTGGCTTTGACCTGTGATCTTCCTGAGCTCTGTTTCCTGAATAACTAGAATTGCAGGTATGAGCCACTAGTACCTGGTCCAACTCAATTCTTACTGGACTAGATTTGGTCGGCATGGAGACACAACCTTAGAGCTTTCTTTAATATGACTTTTGTGCAGTATTTAAGCATTTGGGAAATTATGGAATAATTAAGGGTGCATAGGAGGGTATTAGGGCAAATGATCCATATTATTACTTTTAACTTTAATACTCTATGACTTTTTGACTTTTTATTTAAACAAGTTCTTTCATCTGTTCAAAATTCAATGGCAATAGTGTTTAGTTATAGTATGGTATATTAAAGTATAATTCTGTAGATTTAAGTCATTACCTTTTGTATCACTGGAACATACTATTCAATTTATTAAAAGACTTGTTTATAGTCCTTAAGCATCTTAGGATTTTGGAATATTTCTGAATTTTACATAAATAAGATTTATTGGTATGCACACTACTCAGAAATAACAAAGACATACACACATTTTATTTTGTTTTGTTTTATATTATTTCAGCCCAGACATAATTTCATAGAGTAAATGAATTCCTAAAATTGTCAAAGTAACACTAACTCCTGATGAAAATTTTATGTTTTAGCATTAAAAAAAGGACGATTTTGGATCACCCCTGATCCTTATCACAAAGATGACAACATCCAGATTGGGCGTGAGGTGAAAATATCTTGCCAAGTAGAAGCTGTTCCTTCTGAGGAGTTAACATTTAGTTGGTTTAAAAATGGCCGTCCATTGAGAAGTTCTGAGCGGATGGTGATTACACAGACTGACCCTGATGTCTCTCCTGGAACAACGAACTTGGATATCATTGATTTAAAATTCACGGATTTTGGGACATACACATGTGTAGCCTCTCTGAAAGGAGGAGGAATATCTGATATCAGTATTGATGTTAATATTTCCAGCAGCACAGGTAAGAAGCATATTTATGATGGAAATGATGTACACTTTTATAATTTCTCTAAATTTGGCAAAGTAATCTATAGTCAATCTAAGAACATTCCTTTTTTAATTTCCTAAAAGCCAAATCTTGTTGTTCTGAATGTCAGTAAATAACAGTTGTGAGGTATTCTTAACTTCTATTTTGACTTAGATTTACATGAGATTTTATAGAAATCATGCAAATAAAGTGAATAACATTAACAAAGTTACATATAGTCTTATAGGTTAATAATGTCAGTTTTCCACTAACTACAAACCCTGTGTAAATCTTGAAATTACATTAATAAAGTTAAACAACAAATTACAAAAAAAATTGATATGATTTTCAGAAATTTTAAGCAGAAACTGTTAGAGTCTAAGGAGAAAATCATGAGAGATAATTCCAGAATATTTAAATGAAAGATATGTAACAGGTGTATTCTCCACTAACAAAGTCATCTGTAGTCAGATACGGAGAATCTCATGGTAAAATCTCTTCACAATGAAAAGCAATTTAAATAAATGCAAGGGAGTGAAATTCCTTGTCTTAAAGTTAAAAATTTAAATATACTATCAATTTTATCTGATTAAATGTACAATTGTAGATGAGAAAATTTACAGTGGTTTGTTATGGGGGACACACTAGATTAAGTCTCAGAATGTTTTGGACTGTCATTTCTATTACATACAAGCAGCATGTATCTAGACAATTCCAACATAGCTGTACTTGTTTTGCCAATTTGTTACCAGATTGGATGTTAATTGAATATTCTTATATGGTACTAGGTGAAATAGTATTTATTGAAAACATACAGCCCAACTGCAGTAGACCTGCACAGTTTGGATGGATGCTTAACAGTTGGCTTTCTGTTTCCAGTCAGTCAGTATTTTGACTTGTATGCTGTTATTCACCTGTGACTTTGTGCCTTCTCATGGTTCCACACTGGACTGATTTTACTCCTTAAGGAATATAGGTCCATACATCAGACTGACAAAATGTGCTTACTTCTCACAATTGTGCTTTTTAAAGGATATTCAATTTTTTTGTACTATAATTAATGTGAAAGGAAGTTGGAGTGATGAAAAGTACCTCTATTGGGGACACTAGTCCTTTTCTAGATTAAAAGAGAAAACCTTTTCTATCAAGCTGATCTTTAAATGTTGGTTCTAGCATTAGCAGATGGATTCTTCTAGGATATAGATAGGAAACTATTGGCACATATCAATTTAAGCAACAAGTATTCACTGGTTGCACCACTGTGTTAGGTAACAATGGACTAAGTGACATCCACATATGTTTCTTCCTACAAGAGTAAGAACAATTTAGTCAGATCTAGAATAATTTGTCTTTGTTACCTGGGGGATACTGTTTCAGGATTGTTTTACACATAATTATAAGAATTGCTTTGTTCATTTGGTTGCCTGTCTGCTTTTGTTCTCCTGTTTCTTTTTCAGAACCAGTGATACAAAAAACAAATTTGAAGATTTAATGCTTCTGTCTAAAAGGATTTCATTTAAAGAGAACATGGCTTATATACAGTTAAACCTAAGTTAAAAGGGATCACAGAGAAAAGAAAGGAACATTATAAAATTACTCCTTTAATGAACTCTAACTTTCATCTTAAATAATGTACTTATGCTGCCTTTCCGAAACTATATATTATCAGTGAACATGTAGCGAGAATGACCAACATTGAGTCATAAAATTTCTTATAATCTTAAAAAGAAAATGCAATATTACTTGTGAATAGATTTTACTCCAGAAGTGGTTTTTAGCAATAAGAGGTTAGTTATAATAATCATACTGTCTTAACTACTGTCAGTTTTGTTATAAAAAGGTTAGCAACACTAGAAATACAATAAAAATATTAAATCTTCCAAACACTGAAAAATCCCCCACCTGCCACAGGCAAATGTGGACCTTTCTTGAATAGAAGCTCCATGAAGCCTGAGGCTGTCTGTATTATTTGTTGTGTAACTCAGCATCTGGGGTAATACACAGCTTGTAGTAGGCACTCAGTAAATAATCATTAAAGAAATTATCTAGTCTGAAAAACCATTTAAGTTGTCTTTTCTCATCCTGCTCTTATAATACTGAGATTTGGTGTCCTTCTTGCTCTTCTTCTTTTCAAAAAGTTATTCAATAGAAAAATTTGTATGATAACTTAATGTGTTATTTCTGCCAAGCAGTACTGGATCCATAATGTGTGGTGTCCAGTAAAAATTAAAATGTGGGTCTGTTGTTCAGAATTTGTTAAAAAATTCACACTGGCAATATCAGATCATTAAGCCAAGTGTGCAACCCATTTAAAGTGGCTGCAGCCAGTAACTCTTGCCTGTAATCCTAGCTCCTTGGGAGACAGAGATCAGAAGATTGCAGTTCTAGGCCAGCCAAGGCAAAAACTTCACAAGATCCCATCTCAACCAATAGCAGATTGAGGTGGCATGTGCCTGTTACCCCGAGCTAACCAGGAGGCTGAGATTGGGCCAATTAGGGCTAAACCATTTTTGAGATGGAAAAAAAGGTGGGTGTGGTGTGTACACCTATCATCCTAACAACAAGAAGCTTAAAATAGGAGGATCATGGTCCAGGGTGGCCTGGCCAGAAAGTGAGACCCTACCTCCAAAAGATGCAGAGCCAAAAGGGCTGGAGTACAGCCAAAATAAAAATGAATTTAAAAAATAAAGTGGCTATACAAGTAGCATGTTCATGAGGCTAGTTGCCCAGAAAATTGTGCGTTGAGAGAACTGGAGAAGATAATGCTCAGCCTAAAGGATGAGTCACTGAAGGCGATTACACATTCTGTCTTCATGCTGAAGCTGACTTTGATGTTCCACTTTTGTCTGCAATACTGTGGAATACAAGCATGCAGTATAGAGTTCTGCAGAGTTGAGATTTTGTAATTCAGCTGATATCTTTAAAAATGCTTACTGGGTGGGGCATCGCTCAAGTGTTAGAGCACTTGCTTAGCCTGTACAAGGCCTTGGGTTCAATACCCAGTACAACTACAAAAACAAAAAAAATGAAAGAAATCTGAGTAAAAGTGATGGACCTGGTATGGTGTCTCACACCTGTAATCTGAGCTATTGGGAGGCACAAATAGGAGGATCATAATCTGAAACTGGCCCTGTGCAAATACAGGAGACCCTATCCATAAAATAACTAAAGAAATAAGGGACTGAGGATATGGTTCAAGTGACACAATGCTTGCCTAGCAATATTTTAATATGAAAATGGGTATCTTGTACAATAAATCAGAATTAACAAGCTATTTTATGGAAACAAATCTTAGACTATATTAACATTAGAACTCATAAGAGAAAACAGAGGAAATTTATACAAATTAGTCGAGTGAATCAAAGAGAATGAGACAATTATTAAAAAATAAATGTACATATGGAGACATATTTTCACATTAGTTTAATATTAGAAACTTTTGCTCACCAATTGTGACAGTGACAGTGATATTTGACAAAATATGTAGGAACTAGAAACTTTCAGGAATATTAAAATGATTCTTCATTTCTTGCTTTTACTGTAGGAGCTATACTAATATAAACAAATTTTGTTTAATTTTATAATTTTTATCACTGAAGCTATACTTTATCTGGCTAGACTACAGGTAACTTAAATGTACAATATAATAATTGTAAGTGTCTCAATTAAAAGTTAAATACATTGAAACTTATTGCTACAATTCAATTTTATAAAATAAAAATCATTCATAAGCTTGTTGAAAAATGCAAGCTTGAAATACTGGCAACAGTTAAAATCAAATCCTTAAAATATTGCCACTTGCTTCACTTGCTTGGTATTCACTTGCATTTATATAATTCTTATAGTAGGTTTTTTTCATTTTCAGAGGGTTTGCTACAAAATACCCCATTGCTTCCTCCAGTACTATGCCATAGTAAGGTCTTTGTGTGCTCATTAGCTTGCATGTATTCCTATGCATGACTCAACAAACTGATGGGTTTATAGTAAACTCAGAGACATGTACATCATGCCTTGAAAATTTAATCAATGAGACTGGTTGTGGAATTCCACGGTGACACATCTGGTAGACAAATATAACTGAAGACTCAATACAGATTTTGAAGAATTTTTTTCCTCCCTTTTTAGAGTTCATGGGCAGTTTATATAGCATGAAATGGAACAAGATTTAGAGGATTAAACAAGAGCTTGGAATATACACATAGGAGCACAGTGATGGACACTGGAAAAATGAGCTCAAACTTTGAGCTTTGCTGTTACCTGTGTAGTTACTATAATTATGGTAGTTAGCAAGTGTCTCCACAAGCATTTGCATATGCAAAATGAAAATTTTTGACAATATAGAACTGTAGTACACAAGGAATAAGAATTGAGAATAAGCAAGAGGCAAAGGAAAAATGATTAAATTCACTTAATTGGATTTGCTTCTTTGCCCTTTTCCATTAAAAGCGGAAAAGCTCATGAAATTTTGCTGATTAAAATTTCAGTTCTCTAGAATGGCTACAATGAAGCCATTATGTAAGAGGATGTCCTAAGTATAAAGCTAACATATGAAACTCTGACACATACTTTGATCAGATGAAGCTTCCATGCAGTCAAAAGTTATGTAATTGGTATCTGAGTTACATGACAGAGGACAATTCATTTCTTTCCTACAATGTAACATTATGAAATACAATCCATGACCTCTGAATTAATGATGGAGACCAGCAGTGGGCAAACTTTCTTTGAAGTATTAGGTAGTAATTTTCAGCTTCTCAGGCCCTATGGGCTCTCTCACAACTGTTCTATTATGCAATTAAAATGGGCAAGCTGCCATAGATAATGAATGAATGAGTGAATGAATGTGCACAGCTGTTCCAATAAAATGTTATCTATAAAAGCAGTCATATTTTTCCTGGCAGCCATAGTATGTTGGTCTTGAGCCTACACTTGAGAAATTCTATTTATTAAGAAATAAAATAATAACAAGGCTGGACTCTATAGATTTACTAGGA